TTAATCTCGAGTGTGTTCTTCAGGTTTTGTGATTGGGATGCCGAGATCACAAAAAAAAGGTGTGAAGTAACCATGAAAATTACTTGGTACTCTTAAGTGTTTACCCCTCAATCAATGTGTCGATTAACCACACACGCTCCATCGATACTATGATAAATATTAAGTTACACTTTGCCTACCTTGTTAAATACGAGTTAGTGTACCGGTTAACTACACACGCTCAACTAACCGACTTAAAAAAACTGCAAAGTGTAATTTCATGGATTAGCACCTTATTCACATTTTCCTAAAGTAACTAAGATTGGGAATTATAAAAAAAACATTTAGTTACTTTATATTTATCATTAATACTTTTAATGAAGGTAGAATTATAGTCCTTGTCCTACCTGTTCGGCTAACGACCCTCCACCAGTCAAGGAAACGGTGGGTGAGAGTGGACACCCATCAGTAACCTTATACCCCCTTATAGACCGACTTTGTGAATGAGGCCTACTAATGGTAATATTGACTTTATCTTATACATATCCATATAATTAAAATTATAATAAAAGTATAAGCGTGTATTTAAACGCTTAAAATACTTGGTGGCTTAATCTATTAATTAAACTATACTATTAGTTTAATTAAACTTAAACCATGTCTCTATGGAAGTAGTAACTCCTTTAATTAAACACTTTAATTAATTTAATGAAGTCCATAAGTTTTAATTTTAACCTTTTAAAATTCTAGGGTTTGGAATTAAAGTGTACATCTGGTGACTTTACAAATTTCAAAACTTGAGGGCAAGTTTTGAAACTATTCAAGACGTTCATTTCATAACTTATGAGTTTAATGTACATTAAAATGAAGACTTTTCATGTTTATGTAACTCCTTATCTTTTAATAACAATTTTAAGGAAATGACTTTTCAATATCCATCACTTGAGGACAAGTTATGGAGTCAGAAAACCATTTAATGAAAAATCCTCTTCATCTTTTATTTGACCTATGACACATTTATGAGTTTTAAGATTCATAAATATGATTTTTCATATAACTTGAAGACAAGTTACAAAAACATATTTTATGAACTAACTCTACATTACTTTGGATTGAAATCAACTAACAAATAATATTTTTCATCAATATAAATTAACTCATAAAACAAGATAACACAAAAAAAACTTTTCATGTTCCATAACTTAAGACCAAGTTATGGAATTCTTTAAAACATTAAGACCAAGTTTTGTAACTCCATAAAAAAACTTTGAATCAATTTTTTTTTAAAACCTTTTCATATCCATAACTTATGGAGGTTTCAAAAAACTCTTTAGATCAAACTTTTAAAACTAATAAAATAATCATATCATTTTATGTTTTACTAAATTTGACCTAATTCAACTCATATAGCAAATGATTCAAATTTTACAAATAATTAGTTTTTCACAAAAACAAGTAATTACCTTAAAATTTGACAAAAGTCATGTTTTTAATTTCTTTTTTTTTTAAACTTTGAAAATAAAACATTTGCATCAATATAACAGAAAACAACCTGGGCTCTGATACCACTGTTTGGTTATGGGCATTCTAACACTCCTATGGTGTACATGCAACCCTAAATACCTTGGATCTATGTTTTCTCTATTACACATGTAAATATAACTTTTCCAAGGTTTTGCTCTAACTAGCATAATATAAAGTACAAATAATATAAAATCTAGTAGAATGACATTCCTCTTTATTGGTGCTTGATTCTATGTAGCTTGAGAGCCTAGTGCCCAAGTGTGACACCTCAAATAGATCACAAAACATCAAATTCAGTTAGAATAACCATGAGAGAAATCATCACTTCATGAAATCGGCTTGCCTTGCATACATAGACCTAGTGGCCGATTTTTGACAAGAATGATATGCTTATATAGTGTGACACAATTAGGGTAAACCCAAATTGTCATGGTTTTCCATTTCCTCGGATCCATGGGCTTAAATACAACATGGATCATCCTATGGATTTTAGACCAGCTTGATAATCCATGGAGCATTAGCCCACTATATAAGTATGGATGATTTACACAATCAACCCATATATTTAATTAGTCTTCTTTTGATCACTTAATTAAATCTAGATCAATAATAATTAAATAATCTTATTAATATATTAAAACTTATAATATATTAGTAAACCTTAAGTCTTATTTCTCTCATTTTAGTGTATCCAAATGCATGATGCCATGCAACCCAAATGGACCACACCGGGTCGGGTCAAGTATATACCAATTATAGCTATGGAATTACACACTAATCCAACAGTCTCCCACTTAGATAAGTGTAAAACTATTATTACAACTACGACTTCATAACCCGACTAGCAATTGTAGCGTTGGTTGTGGGTTTGGACCTCATTGGGTCATGCATGCGTGTTAGCTGTAGGTTTGGACCTCATTTGATCATGTCCATAGTTTTGGTTGTGGGTTTGGACCTCATTGGGTCTTACACGGGTGTTGGTTGTGGGTTTGGACCTCATTTGGTCATGTACATAGCGTTGGTTGTGGGTTTGGACCTCATTTGGTCATGTATGGGTGTTGGTTGTGGGTTTGGACATCATTGGGTCATGCATGGGTGTTATTTGTGGGTTTGGACGTCATTTGGTCATATCCATAGTGTTGGTTGTAGGTTTGGACCTCATTGGGTCATGCATGGGTGTTGGTTATGGGTTTGGAACTCATTTGGTCAAGTCCATAGTGTTGGTTGTGGGTTTGGACCTCATTGGGTCATGCATGGGTGTTGGTTGTGGGTTTGGACCTCATTTAGTCATGTCCATAGTGTTGTTTTTGGGTTTGGACCTCATTTGGTCATATATGGGTGTTGGTTGTGGGTTTGGACCTCATTAGGTCATGCATGGGTGTTGGTTGTGGGTTTGGACCTCATTTGCTCATGTCCATAGTGTTGGTTGTGGGTTTGGACCTCATTTGGTCATGTCCATAGTGTTGGTTGTGGGTTTGGACCTCATTTGGTCATGCATGGGTGTTGGTTGTGGGTTTGGACCTCATTTGGTCATGTCCATGGTGTTGGTTGTGGGTTTGGACCTCATTTGGTCATGCATGGTTGTTGGTTGTGGGTTTGGACCTCATTTGGTCAAGTATGGGTGGTTGTTCTGGGTTTGGACCTCATTTAGTCATGCATGGGTGTTGGTTGTGGGTTTGGACCTCATTTGGTCATGTATGGGTGTTGGTTGTGGGGTTGGACATCATTTGGTCATGCATGGATGTTGGTTGTGGGTTTGGACCTCATTTGGTCATGTTCATAGTGTTCGTTGTGGGTTTAGACCTCATTTGGTCATGCATGGTGTTGTTTGTGGGTTTGGACCTCATTTGGTCATGTCCATAGTGTTGTTTGTGGGTTTGGAACTCATTTGGTCATGTATGGGTGTTGGTTGTGGGTTTGGACCTCATTGGGTCACGCATGGGTGTTGGTTGCAGGTTTGGACCTCATTTGGCATGTCCATAGCTTTGGTTGTGGGTTTTGACCTCATTGGGTCATGCATGGGTGTTAGTTGTGGGTTTAGACCTTATTTGGTCATGTCCACAATGTTGGTTGTGGGTTTGGACGTCATTGGGTCATGCATGGGTGTTAGTTGTGGGTTTGGACCTCATTTGGTCAAGTCCATAGCGTTGGTTGTGGGTTTGGACCTCATTTGGTCATGTATGGGTGTTGGTTGTGGGTTTGGACCTCACTGGGTCATGCATGGGTGTTAGTTGTGGGTTTGGACCTCATTTGGTCATGTCCATAGTGTTGGTTGTGGGTTTGGACCTCATTTGGTCATGTCCATAGTGATGGTTGTGGGTTTGGACCTCGTTTGGTCATGCATGGGTGTTGGTTGTGGGTTTGGACCTCATTTGGTCATGTCCATAGCGTTGGTTGTGGGTTTGGACCTCATTTGGTCATGTATGGGTGTTGGTTGTGGGTTTGGACCTCATTGGGTCATGCATGGGTGTTAGTTGTGGTTTTGGACTTCATTTGGTCATGTCCATAGTGATGGTTGTGGGTTTGGACCTCATTTGGTCATGCATGGGTGTTGGTTGTGGGTTTGGACCTCATTTTGTCATGTCCATAGTGTTGGTTGTGGGTTTGGACCTCATTTGGTCGTGTCCATAGTTTTGGTTGTGGGTTTGGACCTCATTTGGTCATGTCCATAGTTTTGGTTGTGGGTTTGGACCAAATTACGCCTACTAGACCATATTATTATTTTTGTTATATAAAAATATTTTCCCCTTGTATATATTATTTTTTAATTTTATATATTTTTTATTTCAAATAGTCATAAATGTTTTTCCAAAAAATAAATTGTTAACTTATAAGGACCAAATATGTAATATTTATATTCTTACCAAATAAATCATACTAATTTTTGAAAATGCACGACATGTTTCCAAACCACGATTTTTTCTTCTAATCGTGTGGGATTACTATGAGATCAAAATTTGAAACACATTTGAATCTGTCAAACGAATTTAAACAAAAACTAATGAGAGGCAAATATATTTTTTATGGTTTTTGGGCTCCAAATCAAAGCTGGAAATCTTCATCTATCACATGGCCAAAACTATGAAGATCAATCCATCGGATGAAGGAAATCCTGGTAATCTTTGGTAACCTCCATCAATTTAGGACCTGTTATATCATTTTTAATATTTAATAGACTGTCATTTATTCCACCATTGTTTTGTTTAGCGTTTGGTTATACCCCAGAAGGATCATACTTCAGTTCATCATTCATCAAGCTTTCTAATGTAAGTATATTGTTTGTGTACATATAGTTTCAGTTTTATTGATTGTATTCATCATGGATCATGCATAACACAAAGAATTTTGATTTTTCATATTGGTGTGCTTCTTGCACACAAACTGTTCGATGAAATGTTTATGTGAGCAATTGTCTGTAATATTATTTGTTCATACATTATCATCAAACTTATAAACAATCAAACTTATTTTCAATCTGTTTTATCAACAGAAGAATCATGGAGGTTGACAAGGAACAACATGAGGATACCCCTGACTATAATACAGTATATGAGCTAGATGATGAAAACCAAGAATCAGATTCGCCTACAGAGAATGGTGAAAATAAAGACATTCACTACAATAGCCAATCAGATTCGGAAGAAGAAATCCATAAAATAGTTCCTTCAAAATCAGTTAGGAAGAGGGGCATGACTCGATTGCCAAAACTGAAGACTGAATATGTCAATTCTGGTGGAAAAAAACGTGTCAGGTTTGATGAATTTGGTAAGTTTATAGGGAAGAATAATGCAGTCTTAGTTAGCTATTTGGGTGATCTTGTCCGCGAGAAGGTAAGATTAAGTGCTCTTTGCTGGAAAAAAATTAAACCGGAAATGAAGGACAAACTATGGGAAGAGATAACAGTAAATATTTTCTTCAATTTTTTAATCTGTATAACATAATATATGTAAAAATCAAGTTTTAAATACTAACATTCTCATTGTTTTTTTAGCTCTATTTTGAGGTTCATGAAAGTGGAAAACAATTTGTGATGAATAGAATTGGTATTCTTCTACGAAATTTCAGAAGAAAGTTGTATGCAGATTACATCAAACCACATCTAGGCGATACCGATATGCTTGAAAAAATCCCAGTTCGTTATCGTGCACTAATCACTGAACAAGATCATTGGAACAAATTTATGACTTATACATAATCTCAAGAGTTTAATGTTAAAATCTTTTTTCTAAACTTATTCATTTATTTATCATAATTTGGGTTCTAAAAGTTCGTGACAAATATATTACTTTTAATTCAAAGAATGTGTCATAAAGGACTATCAAAGCGAGAAAGATGTCAAAGTATGATCATCGGATGGGACGAGGGGGGTATACAACTCTTAGGAGGAAGTTGGTAAGCTACATTAACTTCATATCATTTTATTTAACATGCTTTTATTTCATATTCTTTATAATTTAATTTTTTTTATCAAGATTGAAGAGAATGTGATTTCGAAGGAGGAAATTCCCCCAAAGTTAGTTATGTGGTGTAAAGGGCATGAAAGTGAAGGAGAATTTAAGGATGAAGATGTTAAAATCATGGTTGATAAACTAGTAACTTCAATACACTTTTCTTTTTCTTTTACTTTAAATATTTTAATCATTGATATTAACACAATAATTATTAATGTATTCTTTGGTAGATGGAACATGAGAAGAAGATAAAAGAAGGACAAGTAAATGTTGAACCAGGAATGGATTCCATGACCTTAGTTTTTGGAAAGGGAAAGGGCGGATTTTTAAAGGGTGTCGGCACGGGAGTCACTTACAACAGATATTTCAATGTTCCTCGCAGCAAAGGATCATCTAAGGAAGAAATTAAAGATCTTAAAGTTGCACTGCATAATGGAAAACTTGAGCTTGAGAAAAAGGATGTTGAACTCAAGGCTTTGTCTACAAAGGTTAATGAACAAGATCAAACACTAAAGCTAGTTTTGGCTCATCTTAATGCAAAAGGAGCTGACTTTCCAAATCTGTCTCATACAATTGTAAGTAATCTTATTGAAAATATTTGTTGTCAATGTTAGTTCTAAATTGCATTTCTTTTAAACATTTTTCTGTTTCTTTATATTTTCTAGTGTATTTCAAGTGAGAAGATTGTACAGAGTAATGAAACATCTCCTGTTAGTCTAAAAAACAATGAACCTTCAGAACCTGTAACACCAGTATGTTATCATCTTATTAGATCATCGTTGATATATATATATATATATATATATATATATATATATATATATATATATATTGATTCTGATTTCTGATTTTTGATGTTGGACTTTATATTATGTAGGTTATTCCAAAACCCAACAAAAAACATGTTCAAACGAAATCTGCAACTGCAACACCCGATACAAAATTGATTTCCATGAAATCTGCAACAGTAGTATATACTAACTTTACAATTTTCAATACTTTTATTTAATCTTTTTTATTAAAATATATGTTTAAATATGTCTTAAATCTTGATATCAGGCAAATACAAAAACCACCAACAAAACTGTTGAGTCTAAGACTTCCACTATCAATCAAAACATACCAAAAGTTTCACCAAATAATCCCATTCACCAAGTCAGTGTTTTTTTTACATGATGAATATACAATTCTGTTATTTTTTTTCCAGATTATAACATTACTTGTCATTGTAGCCAATCAAGTGTAGTCTATCATATCCGTACAAAAGGAACATCGTTGCCCGCGGTACCATTCACTTATCATCAGAGACAATTCATTCATGGAGTTCCTCTACAAGATGATTGCTATAAGGTTTCCACTGATGAAGTGGTTGTAAAAACTGCATTTCTACCCCCTCAAACTAGAGAATCCAAATTAGTTGAGGATGCATATAAAAGTTTTGTTCCATGGCCAAAATACCTTGTGCAAACCGAGTCAGAGGTTTGTTTCAATATATCCAATACTTTTTGCATTAAACTTTATTTTCTTCATAAAGTACTATACTAAGTTTATGATGAATTAATTTTATTGGTTTCAACGTTGTTGTTATAGGTACCAGAAATTATATCACATCAAAAATCAACAAAAAGGAAACCAACTTACATATCATCTGATGCCCTTCTGAAGAAGACAAGGAGCAATAGAAACAAAAATAATGCCTAGCTAGTTATGTTTAGGTTTTGGTTTATGATGTCTTTGATTTTTTAACCGTTATATAAATTCTTTAAATTACGCAAATTTTCCTTTCTTTGATATTTTAATTAGGAATGTAATGTATATATGGATTTCGATTTTAATTATTATTAATATAAAATTATGAACTTTGTTTGTGTTTCATATTGTTGTGTTTCGTTACTTTAATTTAAAGTATCTTCATGTGTTTAAAATGTATAAAAAGTAACAGTAAATAGTAAGTTATAGTGGCTATAGTATGATTTTTGTCATGTTATATAGGTTTTTAATGTCTCTAAAAATACAATGGTTACTTTACATCAATTTGTAACGTGTGGCTAAATGGTTAACAATAGTCATGATATACAAGAATTATGAGACTACAATTGATTTAAAGTGATGTTTATTAAAAAAAATTGTCACTAAGTTAAACAATAACAACATGGAAAACAATATATGTGGCAAATAAATACCATAATTGATTGTTGTTGACACTAAATACTAGGAAATCGTCACATAGATCATTAACTATATGTGTCTATTTACAGAACATGAACATGTGTACCGTAAATTAGATGTGTCTAAAATATACCCAATAGTCTTAATACGATACCGAATTATCCTTAACTTTAACAAAATGTGTGACTTTATAATACTTATGATTTTAATTCACTTCTTCTTTTGTCTCTATACATTAGGTTATAGTCACAAACGTTGATTGTTATTGTGACTAATAATTAGCAATTCGTCACATATGAAAGTAAAGTACTTTTGGCCATTTAGCGAATATGGTCACACTAACAATAATTAAAAGTTTACAAAAGATACACAATAGTCTTAATAAAATTTAAATTATGTGACCATATGTAAGAAAAAAAACTACATTAAAACATCATGAATGTTGAATTTTGGTGATATACAGTCACAACGTTAAATAAATATGTGTGACTAATAACTGTTTAACGCTACAATATTAGATATTTAAAGAACAAAATTCCATACACATTTGCCACACTTTTATACTACGGCCACATGTTTTCATAGCATACAGACACTACAATTTAAAGTGACCATAAGACCCATACGATGGCGTCACCTTCCAACACACTTTCAGTGAAAAAAAAATGTCACTATACGCATATAGCCACACTTTTTTGGTGTGACTGTAAGTCATTTTTCTTGTAGTGCATGTTGGGTCGGGTCAAGTATATATCAATTATAGTTGTGGACTTAGACACTAATCCAATATTTTTAAGACTTGGGTACGTTGTTAGGATCATCAAGCTTCACCCACCTTTCCGTGGATATAAGGTTCGTTGGAAACGGACCAAAGACGAAGAAGTTAGAGCCAAGTTAAGTTTAGGGATTTAGGGATTAATGAGTACACGGGGCATACTCATTCAGAACTTGGGGTGCAGAAGGTTAAATGGTCGCAGGTGGTTTGTGAGTATGCTGGACATACTAAGGGTCTATCTTGGCTACTCATTGGATATATCTACTTTTGGGTTGGTTTATGGCTGTTTTGGTCCCTTTTGCTTGGCGTTTGTGAGATAGGGTTATTTTAGGAGCTCAATCTAGTAGACCTGGATATTTTCAGGGTCCTTCATTCATAAAGGTGCAGGCTTTGTGATGTTTTTGAGTTCATGCATGTGTTAAGACCATCCATTAAGCTCTTTTGAGCTCTGGAGCCCTATTAAGCCATGCATGCTAGTAAAGTTTCCAAATTTACTTGAAAAGTCATCCATAGAAATTAGACTAGAGAGTTTGGAGCAAGGGCTGAGGTGATTAAGTGCATAATGAGAAGAATGGAGGTTTAGGGGAGTACGCTCTGCGTACCCATCTGGTACGCTGCACCTACTCGCCTCAAAGGGCATATACTGAGCGTACCAACTGAGTACGCGGGGTGTACTCGGTCAGGGTGAGTTTCTTTGATTGTTGACCTTTTGGACATTTACCCATTGAATAGAAGTTGATTTGGGTTGACTATTGATTATTTTGTGCCTTTTGGATATTGGGCCTTCTCGGGGTAGCTCCATGATGGATTTGGGGCTAATTAGGATGTTTGGGCCTTATTGGGCCTCGTGGTATCATTTCAAGTTTGGGCTATCGTTTCCGCTTGTATTGTTTGAGGTTTTGTTGGGCTAGCTACAAATGGGTGTTTTGGTTTAGGAAATGTTAATAGGTGTCAAGGAAAGGCCTATGTGAGGGTTTGGACCTAATTTGGAAAATTAGGCCATTAGTAGGCTTTATAGATCTTGTAGTTGGATCACTTTGGTTCATGTTGGGTCAGGAATAAGATTTTTGTTTTACCCCAAGTATTGATTATGGAATATAATTTGGAACCTAATTGCTAATTGGGTGTTATTTTGATATTGATAGCTCAGGAAGTCGTCAAGACAACAGCTAGGGATTTCTATTAGTGAGCTTTTGTATTCGAGGTGAGTCTCCTCACTATTCTTTGGGTCGAAGGCATCAATGCCGACCTATTTGATTTATGTATTATAGGAAGACTTGGGGGATAACCCTTGAGAGTTTGTATAAAAGACCAGGAGACGACTCCTGGAAAACTGTATGCATGACTTGAGTTTGAGCTTAGGCACTTATTAGTTAAGTAGTTGTAGATTGTATGCTAGTTGACTTTGTGATGCTTGCATGGAAGAACAAGAGGTGGCTTTTGGCACTTGTCTACAAGACCGAGGGTTTTGGCCCTCGTCCTGGCAACAAAGAACATGAGGTGGCTCATGGCATAATGGCAAGACTATGGTTGACACATAATACTTTTCTTGATTGATTGGATATGTATGATATGTGTGAATCATTTGATATGTGTGGTATGTGGTATTTGGGGAACTCACTAAGCTTCATGCTTACAGTTAGTGTTTTTTGGTTTCAAGTACTTTCGGTTCGAAAGGGATGGGCCCAACTTGATCGTAGTGCATACACCCGTGTTTTCTACAATATGTGATTTTTTGGGAATGAACTCTGATAATTGTTTTATTATGAAATGCTTTTAGATGTTTGGATAAAGTTACAATAGTGTTCTGGTTATTATAAAAATGAAATTTTTATCCTTAATTTTTTGGATGTTACACAATCTCCAATAAGAATCAATGAATTCAAAGGTTGTAACATTTTCATTTTATGGTTTTTTTAATCTTTTTATGTCTTTCATGATGATCTTGGGATTTAAAACTAGATTGATGATATTTTTTAAAATGTTTTTGTTGTTAAGTTCATAGTTTTTGACACTATTTTTTTAATATCAACTCAACAATATATATATATATATATATATATATATATATATATATATATATATATATATATATATATATATATATATGGTTAGGATTAAATACAAACTATAAATATTGTGTGATTGTATCTAGATTTGGAGCCTTGGATTATAATTATTAATGACTAAGATTGCTATGGTATACCATAGTTATTGTGTTATACATCACACATTAGCAATTCTTTTTTCTAAAAAAACATGTATCTAAGGGTATTATAGACATTTTTATTCATTATGAAATAAGAAAGTTACTATTAACTAGGGAGTTACTACTTTTTCAAATCAACGAGCTACGATTATTATTATCCTGGACCCTTTAACCATTAACACGAATAGTACTTTCAATCTTAAAGAATCATACTAGAATCTTGTGATTGATTGAGAATTAAAATTCTTAAAGACTATGCATGTATATAATTTTCAATAATAACAATTTGTGTCAAAATAACAATAATTCTTACTGGAAAGTTAAGATATTCTCTTGAGAAATAGTGTAAAAGTAATAAGAAAAATTATAATTTCATAAAAGACAAAGTATTATTAATATATAAAATAAGAATATATATATACATATATATATATATATATATATATATATATATATATATATATATATATATTGTGAGAATATAAGCATCCAAAGTATCCCAGAATCAAATCATAAAAGTATAAGGTGGTGCACGATCACGCATTCGGCTTCCCGTAATCATCAGAAGTACCTGAAACAAAATCTAAAATTGTAAGCCCAAAGCTTAGTGAGTTCCCTCAAAACACCAACGCCATACAAATATAACCATATCATAACAAACAAACAACATGCACATAGAGTCTACAGTATGACGACTGGACAGCCTGCACCAGAGCTTCAGTCTGTTCGGCCCACTCTTCGAACAAACAACATGCACATAGAGTCAGCATGTCTGGTCCGCCCTATCGGGCCTTCAACCTATCTAGATCGTTCTTCGGGCCTTCAGCCTAACTGATATGCCCTAATGGGTCTGCAATCACACATCCCCGACCTTACCTGTGATATTCAACAATCGTAATACTTTTGTTCTTGTCATTGTGACACGAATTTTAGTATGAATGCAGGCACGTATGCTTTGTTAAATATTTTGTTATTTAAAAGTAAAAACTCTTGGTCAGAGTATTTTTAATCCGATTGTATTTATAGTTAGTATATCTTTTATGGGTTGATATACTTAATTCACTATAAACAATGCTCTGATACCAATCTGTCACACTCCAAAACCGAGAACGGTAGAAACGTTCTGGGGCGGAGGACGTCATGTAGTGTATCACAACAATGCAAAGTATTAAATAAGCAACCACCTCATCCATTGTATTAATAGTATAATTTTAAATACATGTGTGTCCTTTCATAGTATAAAACAACATAATGAATAATCAAAATAAAAGACGAGTCTTGACTGCTCCGTCTTCACAAAACCTAGTCGTCGTACCTTTCTATTTGTGAACTGAGAATACAAGTTATTTTGAAAGCGAGTATCAGCAATAAAGCTGGTGAATTCATAAGTATTAATGTGTCTTTGACTTGTAAAACTGTAAAGAAAGACTTGTAAATGTTTGAAGAAAAGTTTGTATAAGTATGATAATATTTGTAAGTAATTGTAAACGTTTGAAAACCCTAGAAAATCCCATATTTCCTACTAGTATAAAAGTAGTCTTCTACCAA